ACTCTTGTTTTACTTATAGCAGACTCACTATAGGCCTTTGTTAACATTTCTCAGAATTTATTTAATTTTTTAAGCAAAATTGGATAAAAATTCTTTGATCCATTTCTTTTAACGAACGAAAAATCGCCGAGCTCATAGAACACGTCTAACTTTAGCGGCTGCCACAGACAAAGTAAACAATGAAAACAGCTAAAGTTTTTTTCATACTTCGGGGGCATGTATACCAACATAATAAAGAAAATTGTATGACAACCGGACCCTCCGAACCCGCGAAATTGAACAATTCCCGTTATTTTCTGAACACACCTCGTATACATATGTACTATATTTGTTTATAAAATTTATTTTAACAAATTCTTAATAAAATTTATAAATTTATTTAATAAATAATACTTCCCCGGCGCATTCGCCATTTTTGCAAGTATTTATTTGTACAATTTTGAGTACAGGCTGTACACAAAATACCTGTGTAAAATTTAAAATTAGATAAATTAATAAAAAATATAAGCAAAATCAGTTAATCTGCCTAATAAGAAAACTAAGGAATACACCACCAAAAAAGCAGTAACAAAACAAATCCCGAAAAATAGTAACATTAAGTAAAAAATTTTAAAAAACGAAAATATCTATACCGGATGATTTTATATCAAAAAAATGTATTTAAAGGGATATTAAAAAATTAAATCTTAAAAAAACAATTTTTGAATATTTAAATAGAGGTTAAAACCAGCATAAATCCTGATTTTAAAAATATATCGTTTTCATGCGTTTATTTTACCATTAAATTATGCCTATTTTATACCGAAAATTATAGTAGAATTAAAATGTTAATTTTTATATTTTCGATCCTTTTTTATTACTTTTTTAACCACGAAAAATCCTTTTTAAATCTCTTCAATGGGTGAAAAAATAAATATTATAAAAAATATAATATAAGAGTAATTTAGTTACCGTCGCTAAAATTTAAGAAGGTTGGGAAATATTTTCTACATTATTATTTGTTTAAAGTATAGGTAAATCGCTTTTATTGGGAAAAGGTTAAGTCAGAACTAATAGGCTGATTAAATCTAAATTTAAAATTAAATTCCTTTATCTTTAAGAGTTCCATAATTAAAGCTTTATTATTGACAACGCTTACTACCAAATTATTCGATTATCTCCTAAGCTGTAAAAAAAATTTAGAGTAATCAGGTAAAATTTTTTACATCCTAGTCTGTAAAAAACCGTAATTGTACGTTTAACAAATAAAACTGTGCCTCAAAGGTAAAATGTTGTTCGGCTGAGACTTGTCTTTTTGTGCTTCCCTTTGTGGACCGAGCTCAGCACAAGTCTAAAACACTAAAAAAACCTATTAGGACCAATAAAACAAAATCGATAATAATTATAATAACAATTATTGTTTACAGTTCTGATGCTATTAAACCTCACTTTATACTTTTAATAACTGTTTTTATAATTTTAAGTACGTTTTATGTATCGTTTAATAAATAAAAGTTGAAGCCTTATGACATAAATATCTATTATCTAATTATCAGAAATAAATAGAATAGGTACATTTTATCTTATAAGCTAATTTAAAAAAATATAATTTTTGTTATGGATGTTTAAACTTATATTACATTATAAATTTTAATTGTTATAAATTAAAACCCTATATAGTTTCCCACCCTAACATTTATACACAAAAAAATACAGACAAAATTAGCGTTAAAAGATTGATAACCTCAACTATTGGTATTCAAATGTTAAGGTGGGCATAGTACAACATTTTAATATTTATTTTAATGTACTATGCTCTACACCAAAAAGTCGGACCTTAACATTTGAATAAAAATAAATGAGGTTATCTATCTTTCAGGTTAACGCTAACTTCGTCTTATTTTCTGAAAATATTACCACACAATAATTTACCATTTTATACACAAAAAATACGAATATAATATTATTTTTAGAAAATAGGACGAAGTTAGCGTTAACCTGACAGATAGGTAACCTCATTTATTTTTATTCAAATGTTAAGGTGTTAAACTAACATATATGGATAACTTCAAGTATTTGTAGTCAAATGTCATGACTTGTGTGCGGAGCATAGTACATAATATTGTAAATACATATTGCATTTTGCAACAAATTCTGCATAGGTGGGTTAATGACATAAAGTAATGTAAACAATAAGTAGTAAATTTATTATTCATACAATTTTGTTTATATTATAATAATATAATGATCGATAAATGCATTATAGATCACTGAACTAATAAAACTTAATTAATCTATTTAACTATTTAATCCATTTTAATTTGGTATCCCTATATATTTTTTTAATAATATAATAATATGCAATACGCAACAAAATTTTTAACGCACTATAAACTAAAAAAGCCTTTATAAAACCTAAATAAAATTATAACATAAATAGCAAATTTTGTACAAAAAATGCTTTTTAGGGTAAAACAATATTTTTTATCTATTTGGCGTTCATAATGACTTCATTGAAACACCGCTTTCGGTGCTGTAATGAGGTACTTTACCCCACCCAAAATTTTGATTTTATAGGTTAGCTACTTTAAACAGCATACTGGTAAAATAATATTTTGCATATTGGTTATAATATTTTTATGATTTTTCTAGTACTTACGAGACTTTTCTGGCAATACATTTTGTTTAACACCAAAGAAAATCCTTTTTTATTCTTTCTCTGTAAATAAAAAAATTAAAGACGCCATGGCAAATCGATTTTGACATTAACACTTCAAACCAATGGCTGTGATACCAACTATCTAAAGTAAAATTGGACCAAATTAAATATAAGGTATAAAATTAATTTTTTTATACAATTTTTGCAAAATAGATAAAATAACATAAAGAACTCATGTCATAAGACCTTTTGTCGCACTCGTCCATTACAAACATTATATTATAAATTGTCCTCTTGCAACAAAATGACGTCTTATGACATTAATTCTTTATTACAATATTAAACATTTATTAACAAATATATTAACACATTTTTTATTTTACGATGTGCATGCACATCTTACAATAATAAATGCTTTTATTACAGTAAAACAATATTTTTTTAAACATTTATTAACACATTTTTTATTTTAAGATGTGCATGCACATCTAACAATAATTGGTTCGGTTACACTATGATAGTTCGATTTACTAATATTGCTGCTGATTTCAAAAATGCCGCTCGATAAAATGCTCTGCCCAATTATCTAAAGTTTTTTGTTAATATTTTGATTATTTATTAAATTATTTTGCCTTAAATCTATTTTGGATGTTCAGTATATTTTTGACGTTTTTTGCCAAAAATATACAGGGACTCTATACAAAGTCATCGGTAGGGATATTTAATAAAGCACTTTTCTGCAGAGAAGTGCTTTATTAAATACCAAAACTAAAATTATAATGTTTTTTTTTTGTTAAAAAGTATCATTTTTTGTAATTTTTGTGTTGTTTTTTTAATTACTAATTAAATTGAAAAGGCAACAAAGTAAATGGGTTTCGGTATAAACATTACTTTTATTTGATATGTTTTTATTCACATCATGCATAAAGTATCCAAAAATTTAATCGACATTTAAAATTTAAACTTTAAATTGTATTTTTACTTGAAATTGATTTTAAGAACCAAAACTAAAAAAAGAGCAGGAAATGGAAGTGGCAGAGAAAGAGAAAGGAGACGAACATTTATGTCGTCGTTGTAAATTTGTTTTGTTTTTGTTGCGGTACCTTTATGCCCAACAAAAAAACCAACGCAATATTTCATTACAAAATTTTATGAGATATCCTATTACTTTAATTTTGCAGGATTATTAAATGGACCTTATATACGACGTTTAATAAAAGATCAAGTATTCAAAAATGCTCTCAAAGTTGACGAGCTTGTCGCATATGGCAGTGTTAAAGCTATCATTGAAAAGGTTCTTGGTTCATATCGGGCGCCAATTCATTGAAAAAATGCTTTTCGTTTTGCAAAGAATTAGCGTTAATATGTCATTTAAAATACATTTTTTTTTCATCCTGATAAATTTGCCGAACTGATGAACATGGAGAACGATTTCACCAAGTAAGTGCAAATCTAGAGTATTGGTAGATATCTATGGGTATATCGGAAATAAGTTGGATTCATTGCTAGGAGACATTTTCTGGAATTTGCAGCAAAAGATGTACGACGATGATGGATTAAGCAATTACGATTAATTAAATTTAAGGTAGAAAAAAGCAAAATTATGCAATGCATTAAATTTTGAGGGCTTAATTTGGATAAAAATACTGAAACTTGTTTACTTTGTTGCCCTTTTAATTTAATAATTAAAATAAACAAAAAATGGTTGTTTTTTATCTAAAATACATTAAAATTTTAGTTTTAGTATTTAAAATGTCATATTGTTACGAAAAATATGATCTAGGTATTTGCCGTATACCAATTACTTTAGTACATTCAAGATAAATTTAAGCCAAAATAATTTAATAAATAATTAAAATACCAACAAAAAACTTACATTTTGAGATGATTGAGCAGAGCATTTTATTACGAAATTATTTTAAATCCTAGACGTCCTAGAGGAAAACTAATGACATTTTGGAAATCAGCGGCCTAAATTAGTTAAACTAAGCTGGAGTAGATGTTAGGAAAAAAAAGTTTGTAAAACTATCATAGTGTTATTGATTCAATATATTTTTTGTATAAATTTGTTAAATTTGTATTTTATACTTTTCATAGAACATTTTGCCCTCCCTTTGTTCAATTGGTTTTATCAGGATTATGGTTTAAATTAATTTTTACTGCAGCTGCGGATTTACTATTCTATATAATATTTTTATGAATTTTTTTAATTTATGTTATTGCAATCTAAAATTTATTACCAAATTAAAAACTTTACTTTTAATTGAAATATATTAAACTTGTAACAAATAATTGTTTTCACATTTTAATTTATAGATATAATACAACACTGCGAACTCGATATCAAAACAAAATCGCGCGATATTATGTCAACCGACTTTCGGATTATTAGACAAGGGCAAATCCACCCAACTCGCGTGAGCCATTCATCGAGGGAAGCCTTGAATTTGCACTAATCACAGCCGACTGCTGGTCCGCGAAAACCGCCACATAGTCTGCCCAGCCGAGTAAATGTCTCGCCTAAGTAAATCCGAGGCGGCTTCTCGCGTCCCACCCCCAAAAAGTGAGAGATCCAGCTATCGCACCGAGGCCTGGCCTACCGATACTCTTTCAGTGCTCGACTGAATAACTAACTAAAAGCAAACTCTAAAAGTTCTAAGCCGTTTTGGACCGCGCGTGCGCCTCAAGACATCCGCGTTTGTTCTTCATCTTCCTCTTCTTCTTATTGTCGTTTTCGATTTTGTTTTGTGTTTGTGTGACGTTTTTATGAGAAAGTGAGAGTGCTTTATTTTTTTAATATGGATACGCGGGATGAGGCGGCACCTCCGGTGCCCCGAAGGGCTTCCAACCCTTTGGTAAAACAGACCAAGTTTTCCGATTCAAATGGTGGTAAGTTTAATAAAAAAAAATAAAAAATTATACAGTAATAAAATATATCTAAAATGTGTACTTTCACTTTTTTTTAAATTAGAAGTATTTAGGTTTATTGCTTATTAGATAATTTTCACACCCAAATCATTACTCTCTTATTAGTATAAACTATAAAAATATATTAATTATAATACTGTAATATTAAGAAAAATATACAAAATCAATGCCAGTCCAAAATCTATCAAACTCAAACTAAAGAGACTTTAACAGGAGAAATGTCTGTAACCCAAACCTTAAAAAATTTTGTATCAGATTTATTTATTTTATCTTAATGGTTATAAAAATATAATACAATCAATAATATATTTATTGATTGGTATATTTAATTATAACTTTTATTGTTTTGTTAAATTTGCATGATAAAAGAAGGATTGTTTAATAACCATCATTGTTTATTATTATTTTTTTTAATATTTTAATTTAAATATTTGTTATGCACATGACAATATGTATAAATATTTCTGTAATGTAACATGATTTAATTAGTAACTATACACATGTATTATACATAATGTAAATGGTTATTTATTTTTTGTTCTGGTTCTTAATGATTTATATTGACAAATATGTAAAAATATAGGTGTACATTTGTATTTTATAGTTTATAAAATAAATACCTTTTATTGTCGTTAAACCAATCAAATTATTCATAAAGAATTTATAACATAAGCTGTGGCTTTATGGTGTTTTAGTCACGGGCTGAAGTTAGCAGCAGTGGCTTTCAGGCTTTTGAGACATGGACTGAAGTTAGCTTTATTATAATATGAATTGGTAACCTTATTATTTAAGGTTAAATTATTCTGACAATTGTCAGATGTGAAATAATTAACAAATAAAATTGGCTTTAAATTCTTCTTTGCGTTCGTCGTAGATAAAATATATAGTATGCAAATAGTTTATATACTTATCTATTCCCTCGTGCCTAATAAAACTCGTGACTAAAATGCCGCGTATCAACAAAAATTAACTTTTGGAATAGAGTCAGAATAAGTGAAACGAATCACCAAAAATTGTTGGTTTTTCAAAATAAATTAGTTTATTCTGTTTCGTTTATACCTACTATTTGCCAAATAAGGCTGCATGAAAAAAGTGGATAATAGTAAGGAGAGTAAGGAGTCATCTGTCATCTGCCACCTGCTTTTGAACAAAAAATGCCAACACATTTACATGTTTTTAAAAAAAATCTAAAATATATATTTTTTTAACTTATCTATGCTCTAAATGCTCCTTATGCTCCAATTTAAACAATATTTTTAAAAAAATTGTTATAAATAAACCTTTATAAATTAACAAAAATTAAAGGCGAATCAAAATAATTCGATTTTAAACTACGATATATTAAGAAATTAATAATACTTAAATAAAAAATAACGACTGAAAATTGTTTACAACAATAACAAAACTACCTAATTTATTTTGAAAAACAATAACCACAATTTTAGTGATCTGTTTCAGAAATTCTGACTCGATATTGAATAATTAATTATAAATTTAAATTTTTTTATTGTTAAGCCGAATTAAGAAAAACACACATAAAGATTTTTTAATAAATGAAAAGTATAAAATTTTATTAAAGAACACGTTTTTAAATCATCCTTTTCAGTTTATAAACTACATTAGAACAACATTTTTACATGCAAAATTTGAAGAAATTGAGGTATTTATATAGAGATAAATCATCTTTAACATTTTTAAATATACTTAACTTTTTTATAAAATAACCCCAATATTAAAAATGCCTACTTCTCTTTTCAGTCTTTAAATCCGGTTTATCTATTTAGTGCTAATAAAAAGCCAAACCAATAAATATTATGCCAGGAAACACACTAATGGTGAATAAATTTGCATAATATAGGTCGATCTTTACATTTGCTAAATAAACATTAATTTGTAGTATAAAATATTACAAAATATTAAACAACAATAAACTATTAAGTATTGTACCTATATTAACCTTAGATTTACCAAATTAAAAATACAATTGTAACAAGTAAACATTTAAAGTAATAACTATGTATTATAATTTGGAGAAATAATTAAAATGACAGAAAGCAGGTAGACAGAAACATACCGACCATAACAATACAGATATTTTTGTGTGCTGGAAGACGCGAATATGGAGCTCGGAGTTGTAGTAGTGCACGAGCTTCGCTTAATTTTCAAGATGGAAATTTTGTTATTTCATTTTAGACAATTTTTGTTTTAAAGTGCCTAATCTAAATATACAGTGTGACCCATTTATTTGCGACTCACCCATGTAAAATCTTTATTTATTGTGCGATTTTAACAAGATTTGTTTTAAAGTGTAGATCTTGATAAACTGTATTTTTGGAGCAAAAGCACCATATTTTTACAAAATACAAGGCCTATACTATGTCAGTTTTAAGAGTAAATTTTTAAAAATTATAAATATACTAAATTTTATTAAAAATGTTTAAGTAGCTAAATTAAAAATGCACAATATTTACCATTTACAAATATTTATTCTGTTAAGTATGGTTATAAATTTTCGGAAAAAATGAGCCGGCGGAAAAAAACCGTTTTTTCCGAAAAAAAAATTGTAAAATTTTCAGTAAATTTAGGGTAATGCCAAAAAATGCAAAAGTCAATTTTTCTAAAAATTTACCCATTTTTACAGATACTTTCCTTACAAAAGTGAATTTTCGACGTTGAATAATCATAATATCAGGATTATAATAATTATTCCTTTTATTTTAATTTAGTAAGAATATTCTACCGGGTCGCAAAAAAACATATTCGGTGCTGTATAAACGTAACTTTTGTTATATTTGACACTTTTAAAATTATAATTTTGTAATTTAACTTTATAAATAATTCATTATTTTTTAATTGGACTCCTTTTTGCAAAAAACGCCCAAACGACAGTATATTTAACGTTTACATTTATTTTATATTTAGTTTTATTTTTTTTTAATTAAAATATTGTTAAGTTCTTGATTGCAACTTGTTTTTAAATGTGTATATTTCCCCTAAAAAAATCAATTTTTCCCAAAAAAGCCAATTTTCCACTTTAAATCCCTACTGTCAAGATATTCATGAAAAAAACATTAAATAAAATTAAACTAATAGAAACATGGTATAAATATTCGTATGCTTAGTTCTGACAAATAAAAAACGCAATAGAAACTTAAAACAAAAATAAAACAAAAAATAGAGAATTAAACCTCTACTAATCCACCATTTATTTCAATACACTTTCATATTTTTTGGAGTAATGACTGCGCAAGCTTGTATTATCCTAGCCCGTAGTTCTTGTGCAGTAAATTTGACAAAAATCTATTTTATTTTTTGTTTGTTGTTTAAAGTTTCTTTTGCGTTTTTTATTTGTCAAAACTAAGCATACGAATATTTATTTATTCCATGTTACAGTTTAATTTTATTTCATTTTTTTTATGGATAACTTGAGGCCTGTCAGAGCAAAGTCAACAATCTCCCGTCAGACTAAAACTGAGTAAATTGAGATAATTGATTTTGGTATTTTAAATTCTAGATTTGTAATTTTTTTTATATATTATATTGAAATATTGTTGTTAGTCTAGTAGCAAACTACAAGGTCACCAGGATGCATAGTATAGGTGAAATCTATAACTATAAATTGGAGATTGCTGACTTTGATATGCATTGCTGGAGATTGCTCATTTTGTTGTAAACGTTTAAGAAGATTTAGAAAAATAAATAAAAAATAATTGTATTTTTTTCCTTTAATGGTTATAAAAATTTAACTATACAATCAATGTGGGAAAATTCTGAACTGGACCACATAAATCTGGAGTTTCTTCTAAATCTGGGATCAGGTTGCCTCGTGCAAAAAAGTTTTTATAGTACAACAACTCATCATCTTCTTCCCACTTTGCCCCGTAATGTTTTACTTGCAATGTTTTGACATTATCAGCCTTTTCTTGCTTTACCTTTTCGTATTATTATGGTATAATAGCACAAAATAAACAAGATAACTTTTTTTATAATTCTTAAAACAATAAAACGTATATATAGGTACCTATTTTAAATATATTTACTACAATAGAACTTAACAGTATGTTCCAGTAAAAAAAACACAAAATTAAATCTCTAAAATACGTTATAACATCAAATGTTAGGATGTCAGGTGACACAAATTACTAAATTCTAATGGTGGAATTAGAGATTGTATACTTTGCTACAAATCTATCAGTGGAGATTGTCGACTTTGCACTAAATGTCATTTTTAAAATAGGATTTTAGGCAGGATTTAGCTCTTTTTGCAGCACATAAACTTTATCATCTCATAGATAATTAGTTGAAGTACAGTCTCCGCCAAAAATCTGATTGACCAAAAGTGGAGATTGTCGGTTTTGCTATGACAGGCCTCACTTAATAGAATACATTTTTGTAAATAGTTATTATGTTCATTTTTAATTTGACTTCAAAATCGTTCCTACTTAAAAAATTTCAATAAAATCTAGTATAGGGTCTGCGAAACCAGTGCCGTGCATAGATTTTTTTTAAAAGGCTAATATAAATTAACTGATAGTAGGCCTTGGATTTTGAAAAATATGGTGTTTTTTTGCTCCAAAAATACAGTTTATCACTTTAAAATAAATCCGCACAATAAATAAAGATTTTACAGGGGTGAGTCGCAAAAAAATACTAAAAATAAACAAAAAAATATACATTCTATTTTTGCAAATTCCTGTAATTGTTTATTTTTTAGTCGACGCCGTTGACCTCCAGCAACGACGCCGATCGAGCGCCTCGTCGGCAGTCGAGAAGCGAGTGTCGATTGACGAGGGGCTCGCGAAACGTCGCAGATCTTTGGTACCAATGTCCAGCATGGAAGAGGAGAACCTCAGGGAACGGCTCCACGTGACTCATCTTAAATTGTGCGGGGAGATAGTCAAACTGGAGCAAAAACATACCAGGGATACGTTCAGGAGACTATTCCAAAATAAGGTAAGAAATATTTTACATTGTGGATTATGTTATTTTAGCCTGGTAACAATAGTTTGTATTTATTTTGCGAAATTTATTAATATAAAAAACTTTTTTGGTTTCATATATTTTTTTAGAGTATACCCAACCCAAAAGTCAACGATATCCTTTAAAGGGCTAATAGGTCAGCTCATGACTAATCAGACTATCAAAACATGACCTTAGTAAAAAATCATTAGATATTGGCATTTTTATGAATTTTGTGAAACTTGACACATAAAATCAGTTTTTCCAGTGCCACAACTACAACATTCTATATTCTTGGATTATATTTTATTTTGTGTAACCCTGAATAGAACTGCTATTAATTAAAATTCAAAATTAAATTAATAGTAGATTTTGTAGCTGTGGCACTCGAAAAACTGATCTGTGTCAAGTTTTACAAAATTCATAAAAATGACTATATCTCAAAAACTAACAATTTTTTACTAAGGTCATATTTTGATTTTCTGCTTAGTCATGAGTTGGTCTATCAGTCCTAAAAAGGATATCGTTGACTTTTGGGACACCCTGTATAGGTAATAAACATTTAGGAGGCGCTGGAAAAAAATAAACTTGGGGTATTTGTATTTGTAACGGGTGCGACACTAAAACTGCGTTTTTGTTCATATTAAGATACGTAAATATAAGAAAATAGTATAAAAATTAGGTATTTTACTCAAACAAAATGTCAATAAAAACTTGTATAGAAAACCTTTTATATCGTCATGAACTGCATAACGGGCGCGACCTTAGAAAATCGGCAAATGCGACCAAGTTGGCTTCTAAAGTTGATACTGTAAAATGTTGGATGAAAGCATATAGTAATAATTTATTGTGTAAAACTTGAATAGTCACCTTAAACAAGCACGTATTTTAAATGCACAAAAATTGTATACTTTATTTTCTAAAATTTTCTCAAATTGTAACGGGTGCGACATTTGAACATTTTATCGAGTTTTGAAACTCTTCCGTGTTTATTCTTAATGTTAGCTTCTTAGCAATACAATGTACGAATATTTTAAGGTTATAAATTACGTCGCAATTAAACTATTTGACTTCATATATAGTTGTCATTTATATTAAATAATACATCTGATTTTTTGTCAAGGTGGGGAAAGGTTTCGTGAAAAGGTTTCGTGGAAATACCCATTGGTAAGAACCGTACACCCTAATGTACTTACAAATATCTGCAAAACGCAGTTTATAAAAAATCATTAGTTTCAGGATTGAGAAATTAGTATTTTTGTAAAAATAAAAAATTAAAGAAAAATGCGATAATTTACTATAAGTTCTTTATCAAAATATTGTTGTATTTTTTGCGGTTCCCTTATCTCTTTAAAAAAATGTTTTTAACTAAAATACTGCAACGAATTTACTCATAACCTGTGGTATGCTCAAAAAATAAAAATCAATTTTATCCAAAAGGTCATAAACAGTACTGAATTAAAATGTAAGATTCTAAAGTAAAAATATTAAAGGTATTAAATTCCCTAGAACTGTAAAAGTCATTTCTAGAGAAACTGTGTTTTGGACAACCTAGCACATAAAACTGCGGTTTAAAATAAAAACCGGACTACAAGACCCTTTAATTCGAACAATATCACCATCGTAGCGAGTTTTATTAGTCGATGCTGAAAACCTATTTTTTTTTTCAAAAACTCCGTTCTGCAGAGTACCTTCTCATATAATATATATGTACGTAGTCAAATATTAATTATAATTTTTGACAATTTTTTTGGCAAATTTTAATTGTAAAACTATACTTTTTTTTACTTAATTAGGTATTTTATTATAACCTGTATCTCGATTTTAAAGATTTTTAAAGTCGCCCCTCTTATACAGGGTGTTTCATAATATATGCGCAGGACTTCAGGATCTGATAGCTTAACCAAAAAGATGAAAAAAGTCGCTATTAACTTACCCTCTAAAATGCACAATTTTCGAGATACAGGGTGTTGAAATTTTAGAAAAAAAATCGTTTTTTTCGATTATCTCTGGAACCGTTTATGGTACAAAAAACAGCTTTTGTAAGCATTTTCTACTCATAATAAGGTATGTTTTGTGCCAGAAAAAATTTTTTTTCTTCATAATTGCTGGAGATTTTGAAGGGGTAGCGGGTGTTTTTCTCCTCAACTTCTACGCCCCTGAAAAAAGTACGGTTTCGAGAGGCTCATTCGAACCGTCAATGTTTTCTACACAAAAAAGGTACTCTTGGTCATAAGCTCTAAAGTTGACCGTTTTCGAGAAAAATCAACTTTTATGTTTAAAAACATGGTCAATTTTTTGAAAAAAAATTTTTATTACTAATTAAACAAAATTTATTTTAACGTTAGAAAAAGTAACAAAACCAAACGATAATTGCAAAATTAAAAAAAAAAATAAAAAATGATTTTTTACACAAATGCTGAAATGTGCGAAATGCGTTACCTTTACGGTTTGGAGAATTTAGCAAAGACAACTTTTGAATCATTTTTTATTTTGAAATTATGGTTTGGTTTTGTTACTTGTTCTAATGTTAAAATAAATTTTGTTTAATTATTAAAAAAATATTATTTTTTTTTTAAATTGTCCATGTTTTTAAACATAAAAGTTGATTTTTCTCGAAAACGGTCAAGTTTAGAGCTTATGAGCAAGAGTACCTTTTTCGTGTAGAAAACATTGGCGGTTCGAATGGGCCTCTCAAAACCGTACTTTTTTTAGGGGCGTAGAAGTTAAGGAGAAAAACACCCGCTACCCCTTCAAAATCTCCACCAATTATGAGAAAAAAAAATTTTTTCTGGCACAAAACATAGCTTATTTTGAGTAGAAAATGCTTACAAAAGCTGTTTTTTGTACGATAAACGGTTCCGGAGATATTCGAAAAAAACGATTTTTTTTCTAAAATTTCAACACCCTGTATCTCGAAAATTGTGCATTTTAGAGCGTAAGTTAATAGCGACTTTTTTCATCTTTTTGGATGAGCTATCACATCCTGAAGTCCTGCGCATATATTATAAAACACCCTGTATATAAAAAAATCTGACTTATGTTGGGCAGTTCCAATCTTTTTTCCAATTTAAAACTCGATTGGTCGAAATCATAGTAAATAATGAAATCGACCAATCACTGAAGCCTAACAACGTAAATAATGAGTTCAATGTATTCCCGTTGTTATAATGGTTACAATTATATACGGAAAAACCCAAATAAGGTCATATCATGCAATAGGAGTAAAAATATTATACTATTTTATTATAAATAAGTATAATTTATATAAATATATACAGGGTGTCTCGAAAATAGCGCACTAACGATATGTCACGCTGTAGGGGGGGTATTTGTTTATCCGACAAGTATTGGAGTTATAATTATAAGGCTTTAAATTTTTTTGTTATTTCATTTAGAAAATTTATTTAGGATTAATAGTACATTATAAACCAGGCGCAAAAAGCTCATATAGCCTGAGGCGGCAGCCGATGTAGTAGATTGTGTGCGAGGCAATTAATAAGCCTTCGCCGCCGTGTTTTATATATATATACTATTTTTATTCAGGCATTTAATTACAATATTTCATTAAGATTTCGCCACATAATTTTTAGGTTAGGTTTAGCTGACATGATGACATTTTTGTTCTGAGATTTATAATAATAATTTAACTTTTGAACTAGTATTAATAAGAAGACTTTCTATATAGATTTATAAGTGTTATAATATGAAAATATTAAACGATTAAAAAAAACATAATTTCATAATGTAAACTTCAAAATAGCTGCTAGATGTCATGTTTATTTTGTTTCTAACAACAGTTATTAGATGTGCGATATTCAGCAAAGTAAGAATACAGCATGCATTGAACTTACAAAATGTAGCTTTTTTATACTTAAAAAATTATGTAACAACTCTTATCACGTTTTTTACAGCCTAGAAGGTAAAAAACTTTACTTGATTGGTCTGAATAACATTTACAGCCTAGGCAATAATAACTTTAGCAGTGAGTGTTTAAATTATGAATATTAAATGTATTACTAATAGTTTGCAATTCAATTCATATTATTATAATTTTATTTAAAATTCCCTATAAATAAAATCCGTAACAAAATGTTATTATTATTGATATTGGGATTGAACTTGGTATTCAAAATGTAAATTTAAATGTAATATTTAAATTTGTAAATATTTTATAAAGCCATATGGCCTATTTTTGTTAATTTTACATAAGCATATTTGGTTTCCATTTCTTATAAATTTAATTAATAAAATCTTCACTTTATAAATACATTTTGTAATATTATTTAATTTTGCCATTAAAAATTATTATAGTACATATTTTAATAAACAGATAGTTACTGTATGACTTCATGGTAATGTCTTAATATATTAAATAAATTTGCATAACATATAGGTATATATTATGTTATTATGCGTTATTAAAATAACAACAATAAAAAAATTATATTGATTTTATGTTCTCGTAAATTTGGCAATTAGTGCCGATAATTTTACCTAATTAGTTAGTTAGTCTTCGTGTTCGCGTTATAATCATCCGTTAAAGTTAAGTTAAAAGCAACTGCCTCTTCAGAGATAAGAACGTCACTTTTGAGAAATGGCAATTTGGCATTTTATCCGTGGGAACTTGCAACCAGTGTTTTTGTTATCCTTTTCAAAAATTAAGGAATCATTTAAATTGGTCGGTCGGGCTTTTAGCTGGACCACTTTAATTCATATTTATCTTAAATAAGTGGCCAAGTTATTATTGTTAAATAAGTGAGTAAGAGAAATGCGGGTCTTTAAAGTAATTATTAGTACTTAGTTTAGTATGCTTTTAATTTAATTTTGTTTGGACTTTTTTTCATTTTGTCAATGGTTTTAGAAAAAATTTATATATTTAAACCCCAGTTGTAAATTTATATATTATAAAATAAGAAGTAAATTTATTAAACTCATTAACTCCTATTAATAAATAATAATAATAATAAGTACACTATGTTAAAAAATAGTAT